CCGCGTGTGTGTGTGTGTGTGTGTATGTGTGTGTGCGCGGTACGTACCAAGGTGCGCGCGTAGGCGGTGCAGCAGCGTGGCGGCGGCGGCGCGCAGCAGCGCGGACGCGAGGCACAGCGCGGGCCGCGTGTGTGTGTGTGTGTGTGTATGTGTGTGTGCGCGGTACGTACCAAGGTGCGCGCGTAGGCGGTGCAGCAGCGTGGCGGCGGCGGCGCGCAGCAGCGCGGACGCGAGGCACAGCGCGGGCCGCGTGTGTGTGTGTGTGTGTGTATGTGTGTGTGCGCGGTACGTACCAAGGTGCGCGCGTAGGCGGTGCAGCAGCGTGGCGGCGGCGGCGCGCAGCAGCGCGGACGCGAGGCACAGCGCGGGCCGCGTGTGTGTGTGTGTGTGTGTATGTGTGTGTGCGCGGTACGTACCAAGGTGCGCGCGTAGGCGGTGCAGCAGCGTGGCGGCGGCGGCGCGCAGCAGCGCGGACGCGAGGCACAGCGCGGGCCGCGTGTGTGTGTGTGTGTGTGTATGTGTGTGTGCGCGGTACGTACCAAGGTGCGCGCGTAGGCGGTGCAGCAGCGTGGCGGCGGCGGCGCGCAGCAGCGCGGACGCGAGGCACAGCGCGGGCCGCGTGTGTGTGTGTGTGTGTGTATGTGTGTGTGCGCGGTACGTACCAAGGTGCGCGCGTAGGCGGTGCAGCAGCGTGGCGGCGGCGGCGCGCAGCAGCGCGGACGCGAGGCACAGCGCGGGCCGCGTGTGTGTGTGTGTGTGTGTATGTGTGTGTGCGCGGTACGTACCAAGGTGCGCGCGTAGGCGGTGCAGCAGCGTGGCGGCGGCGGCGCGCAGCAGCGCGGACGCGAGGCACAGCGCGGGCCGCGTGTGTGTGTGTGTGTGTGTATGTGTGTGTGCGCGGTACGTACCAAGGTGCGCGCGTAGGCGGTGCAGCAGCGTGGCGGCGGCGGCGCGCAGCAGCGCGGACGCGAGGCACAGCGCGGGCCGCGTGTGTGTGTGTGTGTGTGTATGTGTGTGTGCGCGGTACGTACCAAGGTGCGCGCGTAGGCGGTGCAGCAGCGTGGCGGCGGCGGCGCGCAGCAGCGCGGACGCGAGGCACAGCGCGGGCCGCGTGTGTGTGTGTGTGTGTGTATGTGTGTGTGCGCGGTACGTACCAAGGTGCGCGCGTAGGCGGTGCAGCAGCGTGGCGGCGGCGGCGCGCAGCAGCGCGGACGCGAGGCACAGCGCGGGCCGCGTGTGTGTGTGTGTGTGTGTATGTGTGTGTGCGCGGTACGTACCAAGGTGCGCGCGTAGGCGGTGCAGCAGCGTGGCGGCGGCGGCGCGCAGCAGCGCGGACGCGAGGCACAGCGCGGGCCGCGTGTGTGTGTGTGTGTGTGTATGTGTGTGTGCGCGGTACGTACCAAGGTGCGCGCGTAGGCGGTGCAGCAGCGTGGCGGCGGCGGCGCGCAGCAGCGCGGACGCGAGGCACAGCGCGGGCCGCGTGTGTGTGTGTGTGTGTGTATGTGTGTGTGCGCGGTACGTACCAAGGTGCGCGCGTAGGCGGTGCAGCAGCGTGGCGGCGGCGGCGCGCAGCAGCGCGGACGCGAGGCACAGCGCGGGCCGCGTGTGTGTGTGTGTGTGTGTATGTGTGTGTGCGCGGTACGTACCAAGGTGCGCGCGTAGGCGGTGCAGCAGCGTGGCGGCGGCGGCGCGCAGCAGCGCGGACGCGAGGCACAGCGCGGGCCGCGTGTGTGTGTGTGTGTGTGTATGTGTGTGTGCGCGGTACGTACCAAGGTGCGCGCGTAGGCGGTGCAGCAGCGTGGCGGCGGCGGCGCGCAGCAGCGCGGACGCGAGGCACAGCGCGGGCCGCGTGTGTGTGTGTGTGTGTGTATGTGTGTGTGCGCGGTACGTACCAAGGTGCGCGCGTAGGCGGTGCAGCAGCGTGGCGGCGGCGGCGCGCAGCAGCGCGGACGCGAGGCACAGCGCGGGCCGCGTGTGTGTGTGTGTGTGTGTATGTGTGTGTGCGCGGTACGTACCAAGGTGCGCGCGTAGGCGGTGCAGCAGCGTGGCGGCGGCGGCGCGCAGCAGCGCGGACGCGAGGCACAGCGCGGGCCGCGTGTGTGTGTGTGTGTGTGTATGTGTGTGTGCGCGGTACGTACCAAGGTGCGCGCGTAGGCGGTGCAGCAGCGTGGCGGCGGCGGCGCGCAGCAGCGCGGACGCGAGGCACAGCGCGGGCCGCGTGTGTGTGTGTGTGTGTGTATGTGTGTGTGCGCGGTACGTACCAAGGTGCGCGCGTAGGCGGTGCAGCAGCGTGGCGGCGGCGGCGCGCAGCAGCGCGGACGCGAGGCACAGCGCGGGCCGCGTGTGTGTGTGTGTGTGTGTATGTGTGTGTGCGCGGTACGTACCAAGGTGCGCGCGTAGGCGGTGCAGCAGCGTGGCGGCGGCGGCGCGCAGCAGCGCGGACGCGAGGCACAGCGCGGGCCGCGTGTGTGTGTGTGTGTGTGTATGTGTGTGTGCGCGGTACGTACCAAGGTGCGCGCGTAGGCGGTGCAGCAGCGTGGCGGCGGCGGCGCGCAGCAGCGCGGACGCGAGGCACAGCGCGGGCCGCGTGTGTGTGTGTGTGTGTGTATGTGTGTGTGCGCGGTACGTACCAAGGTGCGCGCGTAGGCGGTGCAGCAGCGTGGCGGCGGCGGCGCGCAGCAGCGCGGACGCGAGGCACAGCGCGGGCCGCGTGTGTGTGTGTGTGTGTGTATGTGTGTGTGCGCGGTACGTACCAAGGTGCGCGCGTAGGCGGTGCAGCAGCGTGGCGGCGGCGGCGCGCAGCAGCGCGGACGCGAGGCACAGCGCGGGCCGCGTGTGTGTGTGTGTGTGTGTATGTGTGTGTGCGCGGTACGTACCAAGGTGCGCGCGTAGGCGGTGCAGCAGCGTGGCGGCGGCGGCGCGCAGCAGCGCGGACGCGAGGCACAGCGCGGGCCGCGTGTGTGTGTGTGTGTGTGTATGTGTGTGTGCGCGGTACGTACCAAGGTGCGCGCGTAGGCGGTGCAGCAGCGTGGCGGCGGCGGCGCGCAGCAGCGCGGACGCGAGGCACAGCGCGGGCCGCGTGTGTGTGTGTGTGTGTGTATGTGTGTGTGCGCGGTACGTACCAAGGTGCGCGCGTAGGCGGTGCAGCAGCGTGGCGGCGGCGGCGCGCAGCAGCGCGGACGCGAGGCACAGCGCGGGCCGCGTGTGTGTGTGTGTGTGTGTATGTGTGTGTGCGCGGTACGTACCAAGGTGCGCGCGTAGGCGGTGCAGCAGCGTGGCGGCGGCGGCGCGCAGCAGCGCGGACGCGAGGCACAGCGCGGGCCGCGTGTGTGTGTGTGTGTGTGTATGTGTGTGTGCGCGGTACGTACCAAGGTGCGCGCGTAGGCGGTGCAGCAGCGTGGCGGCGGCGGCGCGCAGCAGCGCGGACGCGAGGCACAGCGCGGGCCGCGTGTGTGTGTGTATGTGTGTGTGCGCGGTACGTACCAAGGTGCGCGCGTAGGCGGTGCAGCAGCGTGGCGGCGGCGGCGCGCAGCAGCGCGGACGCGAGGCACAGCGCGGGCCGCGTGTGTGTGTGTGTGTGTGTATGTGTGTGTGCGCGGTACGTACCAAGGTGCGCGCGTAGGCGGTGCAGCAGCGTGGCGGCGGCGGCGCGCAGCAGCGCGGACGCGAGGCACAGCGCGGGCCGCGTGTGTGTGTGTATGTGTGTGTGCGCGGTACGTACCAAGGTGCGCGCGTAGGCGGTGCAGCAGCGTGGCGGCGGCGGCGCGCAGCAGCGCGGACGCGAGGCACAGCGCGGGCCGCGTGTGTGTGTGTATGTGTGTGTGCGCGGTACGTACCAAGGTGCGCGCGTAGGCGGTGCAGCAGCGTGGCGGCGGCGGCGCGCAGCAGCGCGGACGCGAGGCACAGCGCGGGCCGCGTGTGTGTGTGTATGTGTGTGTGCGCGGTACGTACCAAGGTGCGCGCGTAGGCGGTGCAGCAGCGTGGCGGCGGCGGCGCGCAGCAGCGCGGACGCGAGGCACAGCGCGGGCCGCGTGTGTGTGTGTATGTGTGTGTGCGCGGTACGTACCAAGGTGCGCGCGTAGGCGGTGCAGCAGCGTGGCGGCGGCGGCGCGCAGCAGCGCGGACGCGAGGCACAGCGCGGGCCGCGTGTGTGTGTGTATGTGTGTGTGCGCGGTACGTACCAAGGTGCGCGCGTAGGCGGTGCAGCAGCGTGGCGGCGGCGGCGCGCAGCAGCGCGGACGCGAGGCACAGCGCGGGCCGCGTGTGTGTGTGTATGTGTGTGTGCGCGGTACGTACCAAGGTGCGCGCGTAGGCGGTGCAGCAGCGTGGCGGCGGCGGCGCGCAGCAGCGCGGACGCGAGGCACAGCGCGGGCCGCGTGTGTGTGTGTATGTGTGTGTGCGCGGTACGTACCAAGGTGCGCGCGTAGGCGGTGCAGCAGCGTGGCGGCGGCGGCGCGCAGCAGCGCGGACGCGAGGCACAGCGCGGGCCGCGTGTGTGTGTGTATGTGTGTGTGCGCGGTACGTACCAAGGTGCGCGCGTAGGCGGTGCAGCAGCGTGGCGGCGGCGGCGCGCAGCAGCGCGGACGCGAGGCACAGCGCGGGCCGCGTGTGTGTGTGTGTGTGTATGTGTGTGTGCGCGGTACGTACCAAGGTGCGCGCGTAGGCGGTGCAGCAGCGTGGCGGCGGCGGCGCGCAGCAGCGCGGACGCGAGGCACAGCGCGGGCCGCGTGTGTGTGTGTATGTGTGTGTGCGCGGTACGTACCAAGGTGCGCGCGTAGGCGGTGCAGCAGCGTGGCGGCGGCGGCGCGCAGCAGCGCGGACGCGAGGCACAGCGCGGGCCGCGTGTGTGTGTGTGTGTGTGTATGTGTGTGTGCGCGGTACGTACCAAGGTGCGCGCGTAGGCGGTGCAGCAGCGTGGCGGCGGCGGCGCGCAGCAGCGCGGACGCGAGGCACAGCGCGGGCCGCGTGTGTGTGTGTATGTGTGTGTGCGCGGTACGTACCAAGGTGCGCGCGTAGGCGGTGCAGCAGCGTGGCGGCGGCGGCGCGCAGCAGCGCGGACGCGAGGCACAGCGCGGGCCGCGCGCGCGCCGCACGCCGCAGCGCCGCGCGGCACTCCGCGCTGCGCTCCAGCGCGCCGCGCATGTACAGCTCGCGCTCGATGCTCACCTGCTGCTCGCACACACACAAACACTTAGTTACAAGCGCGCGACATCGGCGGACACGCACACACGCGTACACGTAGTGACAACCGCGATACACTAATAAACATGTACACACACACACGTACACGTACACGTATACAACACATGCACACCCATACTCGTATACAAAGTAGAATGCGTATACAACGTAGAAGACGTGCACAACACACGTACACATAAGGTACCAACCACGCGATACACCTCAGCGCATGCCCCGCTAGTACCAAGGATTCGTTCATACAGCGTATGTTCCGTTAAGGTCATGAATATGCAGTCACAATACACGCGCACACACACGTACGCAACAAGTACGCCTCACGTGACACATCGTGCTACACGCCCCGCCAGTGACATGGAATTGTGAATAACCTTGACGAAACGTGCAACAACATGAACTAGCACACTCACACATACACAATCAGTACGTTCACTTCGCCGCACGCCCCGATACACTCATGCATTGTGCGCGATGCACAATAGCACTGATTACGCTTGACACAAATTAACGCATGTCAAGCATTATGCATAACCTTGGCGGGACTTACGGTAATATGGGACCGTATGTAACGACTAAATGCAACGCACATCAATTACACACATGTTTTTATACAATAAGAGTGACATTTGACCACACTTCTGTACTACTGTAATCTAAAGAAAATACAGAGCCAATAGAATTATAAGCTGTAAGGCATTACATATAGTCTTCAAGAGTAACAACGCATCTGTAAACTTCTTTATTTGAAGTACGTAATAGATTGTCTATGGACTGCATTAGCCACTTACCGTGTTCGTTCGTCATTACTTCAGTTTCAGCTATACACGATTAAGAATCAAAATGTAAATGCATCATTCAACCCCATAGACTGATGGAATGTCTCGTTTCAAGCAAAATGGGACTCCGATTTTCTGCACTCATCATACGAAACAACAACATTAATTCAACCCAGATTCATTCCCCGCCGGTACCAATGAACTTTTAAGTGCTGATTTACCACGTGCTCGGCGGTGAAGGAAAACATTGTGAAAAAAACCTGCATTTTACTTAGTAGAGCCATGCTGCAGCTATATTAGTAGTATAGTTATAGCACGAATGGGTCAGCAGGATCGGGAAAGGACCACGCTCTCACTGAATACCAGCGTTAAATAGCAGCTTAACGCTGCTGTGTTTCGTATGGTGAGTGTAGAGAACCGGAGACCCTTTTTACTGGAAACGAGGCATTCCATCTTAGTCCTCACGGGTGACAACGCATATGCATTTTGATTCTTTATCGATGATAGATGTAGATGTCTATGGGCCTCAGCAACCACTTACCATCAGGTGGACTGTGTGCTCGTTTGTCACCCTATCCTATAAAAAAAAATGTCTGAGACATAAATACTTCGAGAACACGTGAATGTGAAATCCCACCAACACACACAGGATTACTGTGACTCATAACCCTCTCAGAAATAAGAGTAGACCTTTTTCTTAATGTAGATATTTTAGAACCATTTTAAAAACTTTTTACCAATTTTAAAAAAATGTGTTGTGGAAATCACAGTGTTCTCAGATATATTTTAGGATAAACATTGGCAACTGCAGTTTTTTATTGTTTTAAATTTTAATCAGGAAGACGATGTCACCCATCATATTTTTCTTCCTGTCGCCTCCTACGATCCCGCGGGATGATATGGCGTAATTGATTCTATTACACCACCACTACACGGTGTAAGAGAATCTACTACAGATTTTCTTATCAGCGCCTCAACAATATGTACAATGAACCTATAAGAAACCTACATGAAAAGGTCAGTAGCAAAATACTTACTTTAGTAAAGTCCTCATCCGGCCATGGCAAACCATTGTACATTACATCAGGTGACACTAATTCTACCAACAACAATGAAATTGATGTTGCTCCTTCCACTATGCCACTGTTCCCATCCTGCAACAAAATAAGAATTATTTTTAATAAGTACATAGTTTGAAACACAGTGTGTATACACGCACGCACGTACGTACGTACGTACGCACATTTTTCATATTAATTATTAGCAATAGGGAAATAAAACATATTCTAAATACAATAAAAAAGTTCTTTTCTTTTAGCAGAATTTTGATCTTTTTAATGGTGTTTTTACTTTTCTACCGACATCAAAAAGGAGGAGGTCAATTCGACTGTATGTTTTTTTTATGTGTGTTACCTCACCGTGAACCGATTTTGATGATTCTATTTTTATTTGAAAGCTGGTGCTTTTTATGTAGTCCCTTATAAATTTGATCAACGTCTGACCAATAGTTTTTGAGTTATTCTTAATAATTTATATTGAAGTAGGTTGTACAAAACTTTTATTTTTTAAATTATTGTTGAAATTGAATGCATGGTTTCAATAAAGAACGAAAACTAAATTATTATTATTTATATGAAAAGAATTTACGATTAGTAACATGACTTATCTTTGTTTTATTCGTTAGTAAGTATAGTTTACTATCGAAGTTAATGATTGTAGAAAGTAAGGCTTAGAAGGGCTAGAACCCAGAGCCGTAAAGCCAGTTTAAAAAAAATTGTAGAAAGTAAACTTGACTAGCCCTGCAGTTGTAAGAGGAATTGGCGATTGACCGCCAATGTTTGCCCAATTTTAAAATTAACGGTGTAAAGAACTATTATGCTGCACACACTACAACATTATTTTTTTGTATAGTAAGTTCTTACCTTGTTTGGTAAAAATAAAAGAAATACGAAAAAGTGAGGGATGAAATAAAACTTCCCACTCGTTCTACCAGTATAAACTTGCGCGGTACGGGCGACTAAGATAAATCATTAGTTCTACGAGTCTTACTCACTGTCGTGGTTATACAAGTTGGGGTAACAGTGAAGAAAGTTATATTGCGGAGACTCTGTCACATCGTGGCAGGCAGGCAGTATTGCTGTTTGTTTGCATACTTCATCTATTTTAATATTATCTTGTATTTACTTTTCAATATGTTACATATTATTTATGTTTGTGTTATAACATAATATTGATACCGAATTAAAAAAAAAACTTTGAGAGTAATTTCTAACATCAGAAGTGCGATAGTTTCTTATATTTTATTAAGTACTAAGTGATTGAATCAAATTTAAAAACACATTTCTTAACCGATTCGTTGCGGCACCAATTTTCGACAACTTTTAGCTGTGGCGGCGAACAAATATTTCATGACACGCTGGGCGTGTTAAGGGCCACAGACAAAAATGACACGCCTATTGTGCCACCCGCCATGTGTAAAATTATTGTTCTTTTTTATGCTTGTTTTACTTGTTTAGACCTAATTAAGTTTATTTGACATCAAACATAAGTTACAAATGGAAGGATACTTATTTTTAGTGGGTAACTACGTGTTTTTCTACGCGTTTTCTTTGAAATTGAGAGAAAGTGACTTTCTTATAAAGAGATTACAAACCTTTTGTACTATTTTTTGTTGTTATAAAAAAATCATTTATATAAGTAGGTACAGCTAAATCACCCTGGAAACCTTGGTTTTTATCAAATTAAATTTTCACCTAATAATAACATTTGTAAATATCAAACAAATTTGAAAAAAAAAAGGTTTTTCATTCATTGATATTTACAAATGTTAAATATTATTTAATGTTATACAAATGTAAAGTCGATCTGAAAACGTCTAATTAGTAAGAATAGCAAAACAAGTGTTTTCAAAAGGAAAAAAACGCCGGCGCTATACGGCGGCGGATTGACAAAAGACTATTTATTAGCGAACTTTTTTTATGCATGAACGGTTTAGAACTGTTTCAAGCAAAAATAAACCTTACACCATATCACAAGAGCACATGGTACTTCGTAGGTACTATTCGGCCATATGATAGTAATAAGACGGCAGTTCAACCATTTTAAGCAAAATTAAACAATAAGACAAACGCATTATTTTTTTAACAGGAGACTTGTTTTCCAGAAATTTATTTACAACTTGAGTTTGTGAGCGATCGCAATGAGTGCTATTATTTGTTACTTATTAGACAATTTTTCCATAACATGATTTAAAACCCGCAAAGTAAAAAGAGTACCATGTACACGTTAAAAAAATGGTTGTCAACCCCTAAAAATTTCGAATTTTCAAAATATCCAGAAACGAAGCTGCATGCATGAACTACTTGCAAAAAAATGAATATTTTGTTCTGGATAAATTTTCCAAAAAAGCAATTTGAGCGAGTTATAACGATTTTAAAAAAAGACACGACTCGCGTGTCATACGCCACACACACACACAAAAGTAATCGATGGCACGCCTGGTGTGTCACCCGCACTGACCCGGTTAAAGAAATTAACTTACCATACACGACATCAAAGCGCCCATGAGCAGTTCGTTGTTGGTGGTCAAAATGGGCGGTATTGCGTTGCCGTCATCTTGACTGCTGGCTTTACGCACACCCTTGCCAATAATACCCGCGTGGAACACCGACGTGTGGCTCTGTGTTAACTGGGTTATTGGACCCTGTTAAAATATACATAGTTTTAAAATATTTATCTCTTTAATCTTTGACAGACTATATGACTACGTAACAGACTGTACACAGAGGGTATACAACGATCTTCTCGTCCCATACAATAATGCGTTCAGGATACTAATACAGGGTTGTTTTGCAATTACCGGCCAAATTTGCAAGAGGAGGTTAAGAGTAGGTAATATAAGCGAATAGTAAAAAAAAAAAATAAACAAGAAAAAAACTGAAACATATTATCCTTTATATTCAAAATGTGTGGAAATGCATTATTTTTGTTGGTTGTCATTCATAAATATGAAGCGTCTACTATTTATACGCATGCACACATTCGTAAAGGAGTATTGAGTTCGGAAGCAGTCGGTGGCGTTCGGATCTCTCGCTCAGTTACAGATTTAGGTATCTACACGTAATAGCTGTTTTGACTCAGTAAAGACAAACGCGTATCCCCGCCCTTTCCCTTCCGTTACACCGCTAGGTACGTTCACCTGGCCGACCGACAGTGTTGACTTGACCGTGACCTCATTACGTACAGAGTGTCCTATTTTTTAAATTTTCGTAGGTAGTATTACTTGTCATTTAGATTATACGAAAAAATTTGCCCCGTTTGCAAAGACAAGGAAATAACGCACGTGCACCACCCAATCGGAGAACAATTTTGCCAGCAAACCAAATGCTGTTTGACTTTGGACAGTTCATCACTACGTCACATGAAAGTGCTCGAGGTGGTCAGTCAGTAATAAGGCCGGCGGTCGAAAACTGTATCATTCGAGAACTACTCAATTTTTCTAGATATAACTCATTTCATTACCAACGTGTGCAAGCACGGAATAATAACGATGGTCCATCTCGAAAATATTTTTATGAATGGTCCTTGTCAAACATTGATAATACTAACATTATGTGGACTGACGAAACCCTATTTACGCGTGTAGGGCTTTATAATAGTCGTAACGAACTTTACTGGGCAGTATGCAACCCACAAGCTATAAAAGACAGTTAACGTCAACTGCGATTTAGTGTAAATGTTTGGAACGGAATTTTTGATGACATAATTGTGGGCCCGATCTTAATTGAAAGACGATGAATGGGTGGTATTTATTTGGATAAGTTACAAGGTGTTATTTAAGATTTCCTGGACGATATACCTTAGTCTTATTGAATACTTTTTAATCCCAACACGATGGCGCTCCGCCTCACTATTCAAGTGCAGAGCGTGATTATTTGAATAGAGAATACGAAGATAGGTGGATTGGGCGTGACGGCCCTATACCATGGCCTGCAAGGTCATCGAACTTTACACCATTAGACTTTTATTTATGGGGTGAAATGAAGAAACGTGTTTACGTCGAAGAGGCCCAAAGCTATAACGATTCCGAAGCAAAATAATTTTTGCATTCACGGAAATAAAAAGTGCTCAAACACATGTAATTAATGTGAAAAATAATTTAAGTAAACGTGCTCCATTTGCATTGTGAGAAACGGACTCCATTTTGAATACCTTTTAAAATACCAGTAATTTAGTTTTATTTTAAGTGATTGCATATTTAAGATGTAAATAGTTCGTTGTTGTAAATATTTAATAGTTTTAAATGTTTAAAAGTTGTAAATACTTGATTCAATTTTTTTTAAATACTCCATAATTTCTGTTAGTTTTGAATATGTTTATTAAACAGAGTACGCGCCGACGCGATGTTCGTGTCGGTTGAGGTTGACAATTGTCGGCAGACTTCGTTTTTACCGGCCAACTAGTCTGCTCTGCATTTAAATGCTTTCAGCGCTAGACGCTACACCCACGCCGCTTGAGTAACCATTATTTAAATCGTACTAACTTATCACAGGCTTTTCAGCTCAACTATCTTTTCTACAACTAATTGGTTACATTTATTCTCCACCTTTTTCCCTCGCTCTGTAGTCTAAACTTGTATTTCGAACTGTCTTTTGTGTGGGAGCAAAAATAATATTTAATTAGAGGAGTGTTTCATCCCAGACGTCGTTGAAATATATTTTTTTAATTGTATTTATTATGACGGCCCTAAGCCCGTTTAAAGTATGAAGGGAAAATTGGAATCATAATTCGCGTCGTAGTTATCAACTTGTAGCGAGCGGGTCATTAAAAAAGTAAATAGTAAGCAAAAGCTCCGTGCATTGACTCGTACACACGAGCGCGCGTTGTTTATGCCCATAAATCATATTAAAGAACAATGGCAGACTTTCATACATAAAATTACTTGAGAAGGAATGGTAGCGTCTATATATCAAAAATATCTTAAAATGTTAAGCGTCAGTCCCATAATAATTCTGTCAAAGAATTTTGTCCTGAGAAGGCGTCAAAAAAAAGATATTTAGACTTGAACCTTTTTAGGTTATGTCTTGTCACTTGGAAAAAGTCGTGCTTCCAGTGGTTGTTTGATGTTGGCTTAATACATAATACATAATTGAGAGTTTTTAGATTATTGTATCTCTATTATATATTTGCATACTATAAAAGTATATTTCTGGCATCGCTCCAGGACCTTTGTGTCATAGTGACATTCTCAGAAGAGCTAGAACCCAGAGCCGTAAAGCCAGTAAAAAAAACAGTGACATTTTGTTTTAGGTAGTGTTGCCATAACATTAAATGGAATTGTTACATAATACTATGATTGTGACAATGTATTATTATAGGAAGTTCTTTGTAAGAGACTTATTCTCAACCATATCAATTTTATTTTTATTATTACTGATAGTATAGTTATTATTAATAATATCTTAATATAAAAATATTTTGTGTGTTGTGTTGGTAGTCTTACAAAGTGTATACTAAAATAGTATGAATATACTAAATGGCAACACTTGAATAGAGTAAAATGATTTAAGTCATTTGATATTCCCAAAAATGTTTGTTTTTTTCTGTGGCTTTAATTAAAATACATTTTTGTTTGAAAAATCAAAGAAAATTAATAAAACTCATTTTATATATAACTTATTTCTAGACGCGATAGTTTTTGTCAACTATTTTTCTGCCATTGTCCTTTCGGATATTTTCAAATAAATGTAGAAACCTTATATACGCGTATTTTTAAAAACTTTTATTAATTTTTAAATTTAATTAATTAATTAATTTATTTATTTTATTAATTTTTAAAAATTAAATTTTAAAAAAAATTTAATTTTTAAAAATATTTAAATTAATAGCTAGCTAACTATACACCCAGCGAATAATCGGTGGCAGGGCGTTGTCGCCGACATTCTAGTGTAGAGCCGAGCGCGCGTTGCTCGCGCAGCGTGGCGGCCTCCAGCAGCTCGCGCAGTAGTGTGACCGCGAGTGCAGCAGTGTGTCTAGAGTGTCTAGTGTACGCACGTGCTTCAGGTTGAGGTGCAGCAGCAGCGGGTCGGCGTGGCGCGGGTGCGCGTGCGCGCGGGAGCCGAGCGCGCGCTGCTCGCGCAGCGTGGCGGCCTCCAGCAGCTCGCGCAGTAGTGACCGCGAGTGCAGCAGTGTGTGTAGTGTGTCTAGTGTACGCACGTGCTTCAGGTTGAGGTGCAGCAGCAGCGGGTCGGCGTGGCGCGGGTGCGCGTGCGCGCGGGAGCCGAGCGCGCGCTGCTCGCGCAGCGTGGCGGCCTCCAGCAGCTCGCGCAGTAGTGACCGCGAGTGCAGCAGTGTGTGTAGTGTGTCTAGTGTACGCACGTGCTTCAGGTTGAGGTGCAGCAGCAGCGGGTCGGCGTGGCGCGGGTGCGCGTGCGCGCGGGAGCCGAGCGCGCGCTGCTCGCGCAGCGTGGCGGCCTCCAGCAGCTCGCGCAGTAGTGACCGCGAGTGCAGCAGTGTGTGTAGTGTGTCTAGTGTACGCACGTGCTTCAGGTTGAGGTGCAGCAGCAGCGGGTCGGCGTGGCGCGGGTGCGCGTGCGCGCGGGAGCCGAGCGCGCGCTGCTCGCGCAGCGTGGCGGCCTCCAGCAGCTCGCGCAGTAGTGACCGCGAGTGCAGCAGTGTGTGTAGTGTGTCTAGTGTACGCACGTGCTTCAGGTTGAGGTGCAGCAGCAGCGGGTCGGCGTGGCGCGGGTGCGCGTGCGCGCGGGAGCCGAGCGCGCGCTGCTCGCGCAGCGTGGCGGCCTCCAGCAGCTCGCGCAGCGCAGCGCCGCGCGCCAGCTTGCTGTGCACGCACAGCTTGCGCAGCACACGGCATGCGCTCTGCACACCGCGCATCTTCTCTAATATATCTGCGATAACCAATCGTTTTTTAACCTGAATACGTCTTTAAATTTGCTTCCATAATGGGAAGCAATTCAAAAACTAATGAGAACAAAATTGGGGGATATAGTTTGTTGGTGCAGCTACAAAATTTACGCTACTCGATAGCTTAAGGATCAAAGAATATATTCTAGGTGAACCGATTTTCAAGATCAGACCAATAGTTTTGGAGTTATCCTTAATAATGCGTATTTAATTGACTTAGACTGTTCAGTTTACACCGAACACATTATGTACGCGAAGGCATTTTACTTTAAAGTTTTTATTTAAGTCAGTACATGTACGGACGCCAACATTGTCTCGTGTGTGCTCACATACATAACATTTATAAACATATAACATTTATAAACATTGTAACAATAATATTATAACAATATAATAAACATTTTGTGCATAAACAGTATTTTAAGTAACATTTACATCAAAAGGTGTTGAATACCACAACATCTTTTTGGTCCTTCGAGAGTGAAGTGTGATTGTGATTTTTTCGGTGATAGCGAATCGGTTTGTCTGGCCTCCCAGAAGCGGGTCTCACCAGGCAGATTGAGAAGGCGCATAATATATCGCTGGAAGTTCATCGTCACACGGACCGCAAACAGGAAGCGATCAGTTCACTTAACACTTAGCGAATACCTATCAACAACAACATCATGGAAGATTTACAAGCAAATCAACAACAGATGGTTTCTGGTATGGAGCAGCTGCTCAGCAACTTCAAAAAGGACGGCGCCGACCGTAGGACTGCTGCTCATATCAAAAAACGACTGGAGACTTTGGATACTTACTGGCAGGAATTTCACAACCTTCACCTCCAGGTACGTGAGTTGTGTGATGAAAACCATTCCTACATTGTACAGAATCAATACGGACAAGTTCTTGATTTTTATACAAAAACAAAAGACTACATACAAAGTTTCTTACCAACTGAAGACAAATCAAGACCCTCTACTCCGATCATAAAACCATCAAATTTCAACCCCCCGCCATCAACGTCGTCAGCAACACCGCGACAGGTGGACCGCAGTATTAACAGCAAGCTGGATGAGATGTTGCGTAAGCAAAGTAGCAATTTTAGAGCTTTTAAGCGAACGTTAGCAAACATTGACTTGGATTTGTTAACCGATAACTGGGAATTAGAAGATGCTCTGAAGACCTTGAGTGTTAGATGGAACCGTATCGACTCCCTTCATTGGGAGCTCGACAGCGAGCTGGAGGGTACTAACGTAGCATACGAACAAGAATTTTCCGTCCATGAGAGAAGCTTTAGTGACATAAAGAAGGCAATCAACAAGAAAATATGGTCAACAGCTCATCAGGAACAATTTACACCAAAGCTTGATATTCCTATCTTCAACGGGAATTATCACCAATGGGTTCCGTTCAAAGATCTATTTACGGAATGCATTCATAACAATCGCTCCCTTTCCAGTGCTCAAAAAATGCAGTTTTTAAAGAGCAAGGTCAGGGGAGAGGCGGAGCGGCTGATACAACACCTACAGATCAGCTCGGATAATTATATTATCTGTTGGGACATTTTAAACAACCGATACAATAACCCGAAACTTATATTCACTTCTCACATGAACATATTAATGAGTTTGCTAGTTCCCCATCAAGCATCAGTGACCAACATCAAGAAAATTCACGACACTACGCAGGAATGCTTAAATGCAATAAAAAACCTAGGAATTGACATAAGCACCTGGGATCCGATTATTGTTTACCTGTTGACTCAAAAACTCGATAACGAAACTCATCATGATTATGTTCAATCTTTGAAATGTCCCCGGGAACTGCCAAAATTACAAGAATTTCTCAAGTTTTTGGAACAAACATTTACGTCGATGGAGTCTGGACGTAGAAAACAAGACAACACTCATCAAAAATCACACATTCCAAGTAATCAAAATCAGTATCCGAAAACTTCGAAATCGAATTATTTCAAACAATCATACGCCAGTAATCGAGTAACAACCCAGCATCCATCCAACATCTCGTCGAGGGGTTCTGCGTCACCTAACTTACAAGCTGTTAAAAACAAGAATTTCATAACATATACATGCCCACTCTGCAGTAAGGATCATGGACTATTCTTTTGTCAAGAATTTTTGGACATGTCTCCACAAACAAGACGTAAAACAGTAACAAAATTAAATGTTTGCCAAAACTGTCTTTTTAATCATCAAGGTAAAGCATGCCTTTCAGAGAAGCGGTGTCGTGAATGCAACGAAAATCATAACACTATGTTACATGACGCCTTCCGGTCATATTCAAACAAGCCGCAAAACAATGCGAATGTGAAAAACAAGTCGTCGATGTCGTCAGAAGTGGAAAATAATCGTGTCGGCATAAGTAACTCCAACGTTACTCAACAAAACAACGATATGACAGAAATTTTATTAGCGACAGCGATGCTCAAGGTGCGGGCCGCAGATGGTACTTATAAAATAATGCGCACACTTATTGATCAGGGTTCGCAAGTCTCAATAATATCTGAGAATGCGGCCCAGCGACTAGCACTTCCTAGACGAAACTGCAAAGGTAGTATTTATGGGGTTGGTGTTAAACCTAATAGCTGTAAAGGAGTACTTCACTTAACATGCTCATCAATGGACGACAACTACATTTTTGACACGTCGGTATTTATCATGCAAAATCTTATCAAACAATTACCAAATTCAACATTTGCTAAACCTTCGTGGTCATTCTTGAACAATATACAACTAGCTGACCCAGACTTCAACATCTGCAGACCGGTGGATCTTCTTCTGGGTGCTGACATATATTCGAACATTATATTACCTGGAATATGCAGAGAAGAAGATCAATCTGTGCCGATTGCCCAACAGACTCGGCTCGGCTGGATTTTGTGTGGAAATACAAAAACATACCAATGCAATGTAATTTTGAACAACATCGAACAAATCGAAAAATTTTGGGAAACAGAGGACATTACTGAGCATTTCGACTTATCAGAAGAAGACCTTCAATGTATTCAATACTATGAAGAAACAACAAAACGACTGAGTGATGGTAGATACGAGGTCAGACTCCCACTCAAACCAGGATATGAAAAACAATTGGGTTCGTCCAAAAATAAGGCAATCGCACATTTTTTAAGCATGGAAAGAAAGTTCAGAAAAAACAACAGTTTTGAGCAAAATTACAAAGCCTTCATTCATGAGTACCTAGCGCTTGGACATATGAAACCCGCTGATTCAATAGGTCGACTCGAATGTTATATACCTCACCACGGCGTACAACGACCGGAATCGACAACTACGGCCTTGCGAGTAGTGTTCAATGGCTCATGCAAGACTTCAACAGGTTCGAGTCTCAATGATGTTATGTATGCAGGTCCAAACTTACAGCAAGACCTTCAGGAACTGTTGATCAAGTGGCGACAGTTTGAGATAGTATTTACGGCTGACATTGAAAAGATGTTTCGCCAAATATGTATTCATCAAGATGACCAGCTTCTCCAAAAAATAATATGGAGAGATTATCCAAGTTCTGCATTGCAAGACTTACAACTATGCACAGTCACCTATGGCACAAAAGCTGCCCCATTTTTGGCCATGATGACGCTTAAACGATTAGCAAACGATGAACGAAGAAATGATTACTCCACCACTGCAATCCAGGCCCTGGAAAAAGCAATGTACATGGACGACCTGCTGTATGGAGCCCATTCTATGACGTCAGCATTGGAATTACAACAAGAGCTTATTCGCCTGCTTCAGTCTGGAGGATTCAACTTAAGAAAATGGAATTCCAACAAAGAGGAACTACTTAACATCAACAACAACCAAGACAACAAAAATTTTAATTTTAAACATGCACATTCATCGAAAACACTTGGACTCAGCTGGATTTCTAAACAAGATATTTTCACATTCCAAACAAAAATTACTGACTCTGAGAAGAAATGTACAAAGCGAAGTCTTTTGTCAGAAATTTCGAAACAGTTCGATCCAATCGGCTTGATTGCTCCTATAACACTGAGACTAAAACTTCTCTTCCAAAAAGTATGGCAGCTGAATCTTCAGTGGGATGATGAACTACCCGAAGAAATCCAAGTAGAATGGATAAACATGAAACATGGCATCAAAATGATTGATCAACTACAAATACCTAGATGGTTGGGAACAAAAGAAAATAGCTTAGTCGAATTGCATGGTTTCTGCGATTCGTCGGAGAGAGCATTCGGCTGCGCCATATATTGCAGAACAAGCAAAAATCATCATTCAATGGTGGTGTTAGTTGCCGCCAAAACCCGACTAGTACCCATCAAAAAGCCTATCACTATACCAAGGCTCGAATTAAATGCCGCAGTTTTATTATCAAAATTGATGAACAAGGTTGTCAACTGCCTAAGTACGTACAACATACAGATCTTTGGTTGGTGTGACTCCACCGCTGTTCTAGGCTGGTTGCACGGAGACGCTGCACGATGGAAGCCTTTCGTGGCGAACAGGGTCAAACAAGTGATCACAAATATGCCCCCCGCCTGCTGGCGCTATGTGAAGTCGGAGGAAAATCCAGCAGATTGCGCCAGCAGGGGCTTAACAGCAGGACAACTAAAAGACCACCCGCTTTGGTGGCAAGGGCCCTCTTGGCTACTAACATATAAACAAGATGTAGAAAACAACCCTATGTATACAACCAACGAAGAGGAAAAGCAAGTTTTAGTAGCTCAGAAAGCAAAAGAAGAAGAAAAAAGCTACATTTTACCGCAACTTATAGAAAAACAAAGCTCATTTACACGCTTAGTAAGAATATTAGCATGGATTCTACGAGTCAAAAAAGATAAAACTAAACAGAGGCAGCCCTACCTAACAATATCAGAGTTACAAACAGCTACTAATTTATTAATAAAACATGTGCAATCAGCCGAATTCAAAGACGATATCAATAACATTACGCAAAATAAACAAGTACCGAAAAAGAGCCCATTATCAAAGTTGAA